CTGCAAGAACTATCTTGACAACTTCTCCTCGTAAAACTCTGTGCCACTGTAAACTTAACTACTTAGAAAGAAAGATCTCCACAGTCCAATGTCAAACGTAATATGCAACGTCCAAAACGTATACATATGGTATATGAAACTGCGAAACTTCACATTGCCAAAAGCATGTTGCATATAAATCAAACTAAAATAAGCACCATTATACAGGAAGGTGGAAAGAAAAGGGAATACATTGAGCTAACCGCTGGTATCTTTCTTGCAGAAAAAGAAGAGGAGGTTACCCAACATAAAGTCGTTTTTTTTTATAATCGAGGTGTGTCGATCCTTGGCAACATCAAAATAAAAGTTTGATAGGTCAACAATGACAAACCGCTGGATGATCCGCGAAATAGTAAAACAAAGACATTAAATCAATGATCGAAAATGTTAGCATAGTACAAAGGACCCATTTACATCCATTAGGCATGAACCACTCATTCTAGTTAACATTTTACGCTGGCTCCATGTCAAAGGGATATCAAACCACTAAAAAAGATGCATCACTGAGAAGTTTAAGCAAAAGAAAATATGATTAAGAATCTGAGGCAGACCCCCTATCAGATAATTCCAATATAAGTGTAGCTCAATAAGAAACAAACCTGGAAATTTTTTAAGAAATGATGATTCTCATAACTCTCTTTGATGTTCTTCCCAACATCTTCAAGCTGATATAATGCATGCTGGTTAATCATCCGAAAGTTCCTGGTAAGAAACAGCATCTTCAGCCTGCCAATGACACGATTTGGCTTGAGAAAATAGAAACTACTCAAAGAAGGAGATGGATGCCCTTTGAATAAGCAAAAGAGATCTTCCTATCCTGACCTGCCGATATACTATATGTCCGATGACATACCAGCATGGAGACATACCTTCCAATCATGCAGATTCCCTAACAGAAGTATCTCGATGTCCCTCGCAGCTTTCTATAAATGTCAGACATTTGGCGGAGAATTTGAGGACCAATCATCACATCTCCTGTGTAATCTACACTAGAAACCCACAACCGCAGAACATTTTCTCCATAACCAGGTGCTTCCTGCCAACAGAAAATCAGACTTTTAGCTCAACAGATAATGACAGGCATATCCGGGAAAAGACTTCAGAGACGAACCTTTTGATTTTTCCCTCCTTCAATCACAGTGTACGGGTCTACGACGTTACCCAAAGATTTACTCATCTTTAAACCTCTCTCACCGCGCACAAATCCATGGGTTATGACACCTTTGTATGGAGCCCTTCCTATACATGCAGAAAAAAGTAATTCTTAGGGCGTAATGTTCTTGAGCGAAATCATAGTGGGTATCACTGTGAACTAGTATCTATCGTTTAATTTCTCAAGGGAAATATGCAACGCAAATGGAAGCCAAGATAAAGAAAATTAAAGAACATTGCATTGACAAAAGTGCATATCCATTACCTTTCGTAGCAATACTTGTTAGTAAGGAACTCTGAAACCAACCAAGATGTTGATCCGTACCTTCAAGGTACAAGTCCACAGGGAAGATAAGGCCCCCTCTTTTCCCCAATACAGCAGCCCATGAAGAGCCTGAAAAAGAAAACAAGGAAAAACACACCATCATTGGTCCATATGGACAAGCGTACTACAATGTATGTAGTCTTTTAAGTTGAAGATAGAGCACACAAAAAACTACTGGCTTAGTGCTTCTCTGGAAAAGTAAGAGACATCCATCAATGCTAAGGGACCCAAAGAAGAATTCCAGTCAACCACAACAATATACTTAGCCAAATAAGGAACTCTATGTCTCATATTCCGTGGCATTATCGGTATGGAAAACCTTGATATTTTGAGAAAATTGTGCTTTGATCATGATAACAAAATTATGATAGATATGAGTAAATACAGATTGATTCTTCATAAGATAAAGCCATATATAACGAGAATAATCATCCATAAAAATCACAAAATAACGAAATACTCCCACAGTGGGAGTTGAAGATGGTCCCCAAATATCAGAATAAATTCGATTAAAGGGAGCATTAGAGACAAATTCACTAATATTGAATGATAAAGCATGATGTTTTCCCAACTTACAAGGCAAACAATCAAAAGTTTTATTGTCAGTGGAACCTAAATGACCACTTAAAGTTAAAGGACCTAAAGAATGATGACCTATTCAAGAATGCAAAGTTTTAGATGATACTGTGGCAGCACAACTAGCGAAAGAGTTATGAAGCTTTAAGGAAACAAGCTTAAACAAGTGTCCCACTTTAGGTCCTACACACGGCAACTATTTGAAGAGAAATGAATGTCAAAACCAAGTTCACATAGTTGTCCCACAAATATCAAGTCTAATGGGAGTTTGGGAACCGTAAACGTATTAGGCACGGACAATTTGGACATCAAAATGTTCCATGTATGAATAACTATCATCTAAGGATTATCAGTTGTATGAATAATCGGTGCTTGTGAAGTGTATGCTTTTGACTTAAATAAATTGGAATTGGAAGTCATATAATTATAGCAGGCAAAAATCAAAGAACCACAAATCAGGAGTACCTAAGGTGACTGATAGAGTAGAAGGGCTAGGTACAGAGGAGCTAGAAGTACCAGATTCTTGACTACTGAAACGAACTTTGGACCAAAGATCATCTAATGATAGAGAAACGGATGAATTGTTGGAGGAATCCTCACTGGTAGCAGCAAATATGGATTGGCATGCATGCGGACTTCTAAACCAAGATCGGTTGTTCATTCCCATAGGTTGCTTAGGTTGTAGCTGATAACAATTGGATGCACGGTGACCAAGGCAGTGATAGTGCATACAGTAAGGCTTGCACCATGAGAAGGAAGCAAAAGTGGCAAATATTGCATTTGTAGGAGTTGAGACTGATAGAGCAACGAATTGCCCCTTTAGTGTAACAAGTTGAGTCTGCTCAGTCAACAATTCCAAGACAACTGCCTCAAGATGTGGTAAAGGATCCCAATGCATAAGTGAAGCTCGCAGAGGTTCAAACTCATCATTAAGTGCCATTAGAAATTGCATAACACACATGCGATTGCGATATTCAATAGACTTACAAGCATTAGAAGTTGACTCCCATTTAGGCTCAGATAAAGCTAGTTAATCGCATATAGCATGCATGGAAGATAAAAAAGTCGTTAATAGACTGACCTGTCTCCTGATGCATGGGATGTAAATTCCCTAACAATTGATATTGATGAGAAATATCTGATGTGGAATAATGACTAGCAAGAAGATCCTAGGCTTCCTTTGCTTTGTTTAGGCGATTAAACTCAAGTCCCATGGATGGAGTCGAAGTGTTTCGAAACCACGTGAGTATATGATGATTTTTGCTATCCCACTCCTCCAAACGTTCAACATATTTATCATCACCACCTCGCGTGTGATGGCTCCAAGCTTTCGTTGACGACAACAATTCAATATATTGCTTATCTGATGGCGGCAAGTTTCGTGGTGCTGTCAACTTCTCAAAACGAGAAATGAAAAGTCGAGAATCAGAGGTCGGTCAACTTTGCTGTCACAACAGTAATTGAACAAATGGGACCGATATGGCTAGCATGTCTACAGCAAGCGGTATAAGCCAAGCTTTGCTAGTCGAATAACGTCGAAAATTACCTCCATGAAAAAGAAAACCTCGACTTGGTGACGCGTCGCCGACATCATAACACAACCACCGTGGCGCTTGGTCAAACTTGAACGAGGCACTCGGGCAAACAATGTCGAGTTGTGGGATGAATTTATTTTGCTACAGGGTGCACCGGGTGCGAAGAGCACCTAGTGCACTAGGGTTGCCATAGACAAGAAGGCTCTGATTCCAAGTTAAGAATAATGCGGAAAAGTGAATTGAAGGATTTTCTATACATTTTGATGTGTAATACTGAAGAGTACATGAGTCTATTTATAAGCTCTTTTTAATGAATATCTAAAGCAACAAAATATCACAATAGCAAATACAATCAATTAAAATCAATCAAACAAGATAATTATATCTCTAATGGATTCAATAAACAAATCTCGTAATAACATTGTGTTGTCATGTGGAAGCGCAAAGAACTATTATTTTTATCAAAATATCATAGATTGACATGTTTTGAGTGAGAGAATCAAAGTAAAGTTATGGAATACTTCAGCTTCTCACGTGCATACCATGGATAGGGGGGTTTAGAACAATATGAACGGTTGATAATTGACAAGCGAAAGCATTTGTCAGTGGAAGTATGTACAGATGCGCTAGCTACTAGAAACAACCTTTTTTGTTGGGTAACAAGAAGCTGATTTGCGTGAGGAAAGGAGCGACCATCGCCACAGCTAATGTTGGTTCCGCGTGGATAGGCGTGACGGACACCCACGCTTGGATTCGGGGAGCATATACAAGAGCTGTGCAGTTCCCTCAGCCACTGGAAACGATCTTTTTCTGCTGTGGGTATTATGTGCGTCTTCTAATTTGTCATGACAGCTCTACCAGCAAAAAGCTCTTCTAGTGAAAGTAAACACGGTGCATAAAGCTCTTCTGGGTCAAACTTAATTTTGACCTCACGAAACCCAACACTACCTTCGAGAAACTGTAGCTGATGGCAACGAAAGCAATATATTTTTCACATGAATCTTATAGGTGATTGTATCCGATCTATGGACTAGAAGAGGTAAAGATGGGACTAACGAAAGCACTCCATTTTAGTCATTGCCCCTTCTAGACAATGCATGCCCACAGATTGATAGGTAGCTAAATACCATGTGTAAAGTGGAAAATGAGTAGAAAACGAATGTTTCTTGCTTCTCTCAGCCGCCAAGCTCGAGTCATTTTCATGGCTTTGTTCATATATTTGCCCAAAGGATAGACCAAACCAATCAATGATCAAACTTCAATATAATAACACAACACTAAAATAAACACCGTCGAAAGCAATTACATCTGTTATTCATTTACGAAGACCCCATGTATATACAAATTCAGTATCGAACAATTCCAGGAAACGTTTAATTTATCACCCTGCAATTCTTCCTAATTTCGCCTTCCACGCCGGTGAGGACCTCGATTGAACCCATGCGCACCATCACAGCCATGAACCTCCGAGCCCAAGCGCTAGGGTGGTTCGCGTTGTCCTTCACTAACCCCCTCGTCAATTGCGCGTCCCACAGCACTTGGTCCGAATACAACAATCCCTTGTCGCTCTTTAAATTGTTATAGTAAGCATTATCGAGTACATTCAGCGTCACGGACAACCGGGTCGGGGGCGCGGGTTATCAAAGATGCATAATTGGGGAAAGGATCAAATGGCACAACCGGGTCGGCGGGGCAAACCCTCTTCGTTTCGGCGTGCATTTTGTCGGCGATTTGTGCCAAGATCCTTGGCAGTCGAGAAAGATCTAGTATTTCGACGTGGATTTTTTTTGCGTCTGGAGCTCTTTTTTTTAAATATTTTTTTCTTCATACATTTTATTTTAAATATTTTTCATTTTTTTCTTTCCTTTTCTTTTCTTTTCTCCCCGGCCGATCTTCAAAATATGGGCATAACTTGGATTAAGGGAAGGATCTTGGGAATATGTCGAGTTGATGGAGTAGAGTCGCTTTGTGAATTCGGAGCAATGAGAGTCCCCGATGGAGTGAGCTCCGGAGAGAGTCACCATATCTTGGAGCGAAAACCCTTTCTTCGCAAAGTTCTCTTTGAGTTGCACAGCGCTAAAAAATGCGCCAGGGAGGTTTTCGATCACCTTCGCCGCAAGGGAGACTCTCCCATCCCGCCTCCCGCTTGGGACAGCATAGTGTAAGCGCCCGGCAGCTCGAACCCCAATGCGAGCGGCGAAGGCCACGACGTCGGCACATGAGACAGGGTTAGGGCAGCGGGCTTCAATCTTGGTCTTGGCATCATCGATCGCCTCAAAGCCTCCGATGCCGAGGTTTCCCATGCTATCTTTCTCCGCGGTGTTCCCTATGGTGGAGTCGAGAAGAATGGACCCATCACAACCCTGAGTGCCAGAAGAACATACGTCACACCACATATGACAGCTTTATTTAGATATCCATTTAGAGTTTGTTACATCAATCAATTATACAAGTCGTTACTGCCCCTTGGATTAATTACTCAACCGTCAAATGAAAGCTGGCCATCTATGGATTTTGCGAAAGAATGGGCCAATTTGCAAATACGATTGACATCACAAGAGATTACTCAATGATGTTGCATATAAAATACAAAACGAGTTAGATAATTACCCTGACAAAACAGTCATGGAAATGGAGTCTAATGAGGGCAGCAGAAACTCCGGGATCAGCAGCGAGAGCCTTTTGTACTGACTCTCTCACTATGGCCTCAGCTGATGGGCATTTCTTTTGATAAAACCCAACCTTCAATGGACCTGAAATTGGACCCACCAAACATAAAAAAGAAGTTATGACCAAGACGAGAAAATGAACAATACATCAACTCAAGCACAAGTGTTGAAACCGCTAGCGTAAGGGAAAACGAAAGAGGACCTGAAATTGCCGATGAAATTAGACAGATGACGAAAACAAAGCTCGAGTAAGTGCTCAAGCTTGCCATTGATACAGATGAGCCAATATGAGCACTTCCCTCAGAATCTTTAGAACTTCAATGACTAGGGTTCTTGATGAAAGAGAGGAGAAGAGAAGTGTGGATGACACAAGCCATGGCTACAATGGCCCCTTTTATAGGGACTTAGTTGCAGATAATTTGAGTGTGGGAAACCAAGAATGATGGTTAAAGAGGCAAAGTCTATTGAAGCTTCGTGTCATTGAGCTGTCTTTAAGAATTTCAATAAAAAAAAGTACGTCAACATGCAAATAAATTAGATTTAAAGAATGAAAGGCGTGTGCCCTCCACACCGTTCTTTTTCAAAAGCACGCGTCTCAGACATATAATAAGAGGGAAATGGGAAGCAAAGTTTGAATTGTGGTCATATTCCGACATGTCATCGCTTGCATTGATCTCCTCAAATCATATAGAAATCGAAGTATTCTAAGTTTACTCTTCCCAACGTAGCTAAAGACAATAAGATACATTTAAATATTCATTTATTTGACGGTCGGTAGTAGCTAGTTCATTGAACATGTAAGGACATTTTAGCTTGTGTATTATTTTTTACGGTGCCAATTAGTCAAATTCAACTGGAGCGAATAATGTTAAGATAGGGAGATATACAATTGACCTTAATTGTTGCGCGACGGCTAGTTATGGGCCACGGATATCTTATAGTCAATGAATTGACTAGATGTTTCTAGAGAATGATCATACTACTAATCATGCACGATGCATTGAGAAAATCCACTAATGCTATGCTTTGGTGCAGTCAATTAAGCTCTACCAACATTTGATAATATCCATCTATTTTGTTGTCATTGGGATGACATGACGGAAACTCAATACCTCTCTTAGGAAGATTATTAAGGAAGAGCTCAAATCTGATTTCCATCAACATATCCAATCAAACATGCATTCACTTAAACAAGAAGCAAAAAAAAAGGCGAAATAAATTTTAGAAAATGGAATAAAGGAAATGTATCTTTTAAGGAAAAGTGTGATTAAGCTTTGAGAACTTCCACGTCTTTTCGTTATTTGTTGCTCACGACTGGCTTTCAAGCTTTTTAACACGTTACGATTTCCAACCCAAAAGCTTAATTAAGTGCCAAGTCACAAAATATTGTAAAGACGATGAGGACAATATTCTTGCGAGTGCAATGGGAAGAAAGGATGTCGTGCGCAAAATGAATGATCAATTTTTGCTAGAAAAAATGAATGATCAATTGGCATTTAAAGAATGTGCAAACAGGTTCTTACGATGTATGTAGAAATCTTCAATCCAAAATCTTGAATCATTAAATGTTTCCATTGATGATGCGGGAGCTAAAAGATTGTAATTTGATTATTATCATTTTAGCCTTTATTTGTTTGATTTAAGGAATCGTCTTTGAATCTTTGGTGATTTTCTTACTTAAATAAGATTACAGTTGTCAAGATTTTAATTTTATTTGAATAAGATAGTAGTTATCTGATTAGGTTATACATTTCCTATTTATTTTTTTATTAGATTATGATATATATTTATACTGTTCACTCAATTACCAATCATGGCAAACAAATTAGTGTTCTCTCAATGTCATGGCAGACCAATCACTATTCACTATCTAGTTACTATGTACTACTATGATTACAGGTAGGAACTAGAAATCCAAATATTTTTCTTTGATTGGCTTGAAGAACATATTCTTGAATCACGAGAAATCCAAGTCTTAATCATGTTTACAAATGGAAGTTAGATAATGATCAAACTATCGAATCTAATCATCCTCCTCACGGTAAAATAAAATGCTAACATCTAAGAATCAACATCTTCATACCATTGGAAAACAAGTAGACAGGATAGAATTATCTATCCAACATTCCTCTCCCCAAATTTTATCAAAACCAAAAACCTTTAAATCACCAATATTCAAAACATTTGAATCCCTTGAAAAATATAATTTGGAATTTTCCAAAGTCATAGAAAAGAAAAAAGAATTTTTAGAAAAATCACCCATAATTGACACCTCCAAATTAAAAGGTCTAGTCATAATTGATACTCCGGATCAAATAAATACTTTTGACAAATCCACTGCTAAATCAGATAATGAACCTACTCCTGAAGTGAATAACTCACATGGAAAAATCCACAAAAACTTTATTATTCTAGGGCCACTCCCCCTGGTGTAACCCTTGAGGAATCCTCCTAGTTCAAAATAAATATTCTCCTTAGGCAATCTAAGAATGGAACATAGACGGAGTTGCTGAAAATAATATTATTAACATATTAAATCGAATGGTCATAGTTGCCAATGCTTATAAAACTCAACAAAATGTTTCTGATCACGTTGTAGCTCATCTTTTAGTTGCTGGTTTAATTGGGCAATTAAAAGGATGGTGGGATAATTATATTAGCAAAGAACAAAAAAATCAAATTTTAAGTGCATACCGAAGAAAATGGTCAAATCATCCAAGATGCTGTCAATAGGTTTATCTTCTCTATATCACAACATTTCATAGGAGATTCTTCACACATAAAAGATAGACATCATGACCTCTTATTAAATATGACATGCAAATCCTTAGGAAGATTTGAAGAAATCTCTGTCTAACAAGATCCTTGTTAGGGAGGCTGTGATCAACCTTTTTAGAAAGAAAAATTCTTAGCAGTATTACCTTACCTAATAGAAGAACAAGTTGGTAATAAAATAAGAAAAGAATATGATGGTCACATCCCGTATCATCTACTATCTTATGGAGAATTAATATCATAAGTCCAATAGCAAGGTATGCAAATGTGTAACACGATCAAATAATAGAGACAACTTAAGAACGAAGAATCAATTACACACAAAGAATTAGTTGACTTCTGTGCCCAATATGACCCTTCGTACACTGAGCCAACCAACAAAAAATGCAAAGAGACTGTCCTCCATGACTAGGAAAAGGAAAACCAAAACCTTATAAATTAACCTCAACAAGAAAAACCTCAACAAAAGTTTCAAAGATATTAAATGTTACAAAAGGACATATTTCCAAATATTATAAAATTAATAAAAGTCTCAATGAGTTATCCGTAGATGATGAAATCATTCATCAACTCAATGAAAATATGGCCGCATCCGATGATGACACTTCTTTAGAAGACTTTCTTGAAGAATAAGGCCTTCAATGATTTGAATTGAAACTTCTTCGGAATCAGAAACAGAAAATCCCTCTTCCAATAAACCAACTAAATATGTTATATGTTATATATATCTTCATTATAGAATGACTAGGTAACATTAAAAAAAAATTACTGCATTTAAAACCTAGGGCAAAAATTACATTAAGGAAACATCAACAAAGGTGCAAAATCGATCAGACAATACCTTGAACCTATACGCAAGAAATATCAATTTGTTTGGAGTATTGCTCGGCTCTAGAAGCGACCTCCGCCTCGCGCGAGCGCCCCTCGCCGATCCCACCACCTTCCAATCGGCCGGATCACAGCCGCGACGGCTCGCCAAAAAAATAAATAAGTTTCGTCAGAAACGCGGATCGTTCGACCTCAATTTGACTAAGCACTTGACCCAAATTGAGAAAATGGCCAAATTAAAGGCAATTTCCAAACAGCAAAAATTATATTAAGGAAACATCAACAAAGGTGCGAAATCGATCAGACAATACCTTGAACCTCTACGCAAGAAATATCAATTTGTTTACAGTATTGCTCGACTCTAGAAGCTCCGCTGCAATTCCACCACCTTCCAATCGGTCTGAATCACAGCCGCGACGCTGCCAAAGGTTCGACCTCAGCGAGAAGCTTCCCGATCGGAGTCGGAACAGGCAAGTTCCTGCAACACGGACATGACGGGTTCAACCTCAACCACTCATCAACGCACTTCAAGTGGAAGTAATGGCCACAACCCGGCAACATCCTCAGCACGTCGGTCTCCTTGTAGTCCGACAAGCAAATCGAGCAGCAGCTGAAGCTCACGGATGAGCCACCGATGCCTCCAGCGGCCTTCGCCTGCGAGTAGAGGAGCTTCGGGAAGCTCTCCAGGTTGGTGTCATCAAGGCCAAGCGCGATCACGACCGAGTAGTCACTGTTCTCCGCCAATGCCAAGGAGGACCGGGGGGACCGCGGGACGCAGACACAGACACGGACGTGGGTGCAGATGTAGCAGGCGAGCTTGATAAGGATGAGAAGGGCGAGGACGATGAGCATGAACCGGATTCCCTTCGTGAATTCACCCCTGTTCTGCTCAGGGTTCAGGTAATCGGAGGTGCTGTTCATGTCGCTGGCGGATCAATCAATCGAGGAGTTAGGGACGTCGTTTGAAGTCGGAGAGAGAGAGAGAGACAAGATGTGGAGAAGGAGGAGCGAACCCTGCTATCAAAACGCCGCAATCATAAGGCAATCTTTGGCATTTGTTTCTATTGCATTTTCTCAAGCGGAAAGAATTGTCAGTGGAAACTACTTAACTGCATGATTTGTTTCCATACAAGCATACAGAAGTTTACTCGGTGTTGTTATAATTCTTTGCTTAAGAGTTGTTAGACCTGGAAAATGTGGACAGAAGGCTATACTTTTTATTCCATAAAAGAAACTTGTAATACCATTGTTGCCTCGTGTTGAAGTAGAAAAATCTTTTTTTCCATAAAAAATAATGAAATGAATCGAGTCGTTTTTTGTGAGAATCAAGACATGAATGAAACCCGTGGACTTATCATGTATATATGACTTATAGGAGCTTTGGAAATATATGGATTATTGATAATGGATGAGTGAAAGTCAAGCATCTTGGTATGTACTATAAGTGACAAATGGGTGGGTTTGATTGAGTTTGGGTGCCTCTTAAATGGGTTCCATCCATTTAACTAGTATTGACTCACATTTTTTTATAAACGATTTAGATGGTCCATATCTAACCCAATCTAGATCCAACTCAAATCCACCCACATAGCCCACCAAAAAAGGGCAAAAGGACACCGAGTGTCACAACTGTACGAAGATCACTTTGGTTCATAACTTTTCGGATCACTTTGTGCCAATTCGGAGGAAAATAGATTACTTAAGTGACTCGCCAAAATTCGCCAAAAAGCTAACCTTGCATTTATATTAAAAAAAATGGTCGACTTGTACACTGGAAATTATGTGACTTTTTCGAATTTTTAATTTTTAGAAAATAATAATAATAATAATAATAATAATAATAATAATAATATAATAATAAAAAGTTGCAGCAGCGGCGGGCTCCTCGCCGCTGCTTAACCTTTTTTTTAAATAATAAATATAATTTAATTTTTTTTTTTTAAGTACACATCAACGGGCTAAACAGGTTTTTCCGCAAGGCCCGGTCTCAAAAAACAAAAAAAAAGAAAAACATTTTTAAAAATAAATAAATGAAAAAACAAATCTACAAAATTAATTGTTTGTTTCTTCGATCCGCCATAACGGGGTTTTAGCACCGCCATGGCAAAACCCTTGAAGTAGCATGTGTCGTCCGCAAGACCCAGTCTAACGGCTTTGACAAAGAGCAACAGTAGCTAAATGAGCCGAGCCACGAGAAAAATGAGGAGGAGCTCGAGGCCGTCGCTAGCTCCTCCGATGAGAACGCCACCCCCGCCGATGAGAATGGCAACCAAGGAGGACAATGAGGTTCAATGTTTGCCTGCCTCTTTTTTACTGGAATAGTTGGAATTTTGGTGCCGGATCTCTTTGTTTGCTTCTAGGGTTTGCGGGCTCGGTGCGGTTATAGGTGTTTCTAGTGTTTTGCGCTAGGAAAGTGGATGTGTGCTTCATGTTTGAATACGAGTTTTTTCAGGAGTTTGAGCGCTGGATTTCACTCGAGGATGTTGAGTTAGGACACTTGAGTCAAGCTGTTGTTCTACTGATTTCTTGTGGTTTTGTTACTGCATTCGGTTCTGCAAGTAGCTAGGAGGAGGACAAAGGTGGCTGCCCATCGGCGACGGCAACGGCAGGCGGTAGAGGTGTGATCATGTCACCGACGGCAGAGGGGCACCGTCAGCGGGGTTCCCTCTCTTGTTCGACATAAAAGTTCTCTATTTCTTTTCTTACTTATGCTATTTTCACTCCCTTATTAGCTTGTCACACGATTTTATCACATTAATTTGACTACACTATCTCTTGTGGGTCCCACCCTTAATTTAAGATTATTTCTTACTTTTTCTTTCTTCATTTAAACTACCCACATCCCTTTCAAACCACATTTTTTTCACCCTAGCCGCTTCTTCCACACCCATTACCTTTGAACATTTTCTTCATATTTGTTTTCTTCTATACTTATTCTCCATTCTTGTAATATGAGCAAGCACCAATCATATATCGAGTAAAGAAAAGTTAGTTTTATCCGTAGATTGTTCACTTTATTTCTATAGATTATCCTCATGATCGTGAATCTTTTTTTACTTCGATTTTCAATACAAATTTATGAGAATTTACTCAAAGATTGAATATTGTGGTTGATGTATGCATTATACAATACTTACTCATTTTCATTGTATTATTGTTTTGTAGTGCAGTAGCTATGGAAGACAATATTGGCGAGGATCCAAATTGCTTAAATATATTTGTTGATGATACTACTGCTAATGGAATATAAACGGAAATGAGACTACTAGATTTTCCGAATAAAATGGAAATGTGACTAATTTCCTCATGGTCTTCATATTTCTCTTTTCATGAACTTCATTACCTTTAGAATGGAAATGCGAATAAAATGGAAATGCAATGCATGGGCCTTTCATGTGCGCATGAAATAAGATTTAGGTTTTTCGATGGATTACCTTTAGATATAATTAATCAACAATGGAGGCTTGATGTAAAGTCCTTCCTGGATCACGATATTAGGCAAATTAATGAAGAAGATTCATTTCCGCAACTACTTCATGAGATGGAAAGGGTGTATCAAGCATGCCTACTTTTTAAAAAGGAAATTGTTTGAAAGCATATTGAGCAATTTGTACGAGCAAGTGATCCTTTCTTATATGAGCCCCTAGCTACATCTCATAGAGGTCATCCTTCAATTTCGAAAACTAAAGTGGAAGCAACTTCTACACAATGTGATCCTTCTACACTTGAGATTGTTAAAAAGGGGAAGAGATGTGGTACTTGTAAGTCGGACATGTAAATCGAAAGGCAAAGATCTCAGATCAAACTCACATTCAAAGACCATTGGAATTCATGGTGGTGAAACATAGTAGACACAAAGGACTCAAGCAAGCAACAATTCAACTTGACATACTTCTAAGGTTGGAGCGTCTCACACAATGACATTGACATTTATTCCTATATATATATATATATATATATATATATATATATATATATATATATTTGTTTTAAGTAAATAATGACTCTCTTATTAATGTAATCGAAAACTTTTATTGTTTGATTCAAGTAGAAGATTTTTCAAGAGAGTAGCCTTTTCGAGAAGAGCGAAGCAGCTAAACAAACAATTTCTTTTATTAATTTTCATATGCAACTTGTCATTATTGCAGAACATTTGTACTTTGAGGATAATTTTCTTTTCATTGATGGTTCTATGAGAATTTTGATGTATTTAGAATTGACAAAAATTGTATGTTTGAAATGGTTTGAATGGGTTGTCTTATAATGCAATTACAATTGCCATAATTTCTTGTCAACGGATAAAGATAGTATTCTATTTAATAATGTTTAGGGAGCATTTTCCTTTGCATTTGCAAGACAATAATGGATGTTTAGAATTTTTTATGTGCTTAACTTCATCATATTTTTAGTTTTTCTAAAAGTCGTGTAAAGATGGCATGAAAAATGCATGGAAATGAGACTACTAATAAAATGAAAGTTAAGTAGTTAAAATACACAAACTACAACGTAAGGACAAATATTAAAGTTATAATTAAATGAAAAGCGTACAAAAATTGGTAGATGGTTCTTTGCATTTTTACTTATGCTTAGGTTATTTTTTCTAATATAGTTGCCTAGTACAAAAAAAAAAGAGAAATGTCCAATCATTAACACAATAATTCCTAAATTATCTACCAAATAAACTATTTTTTAGAAAAGAGGAGCACCAATTTTGTTCCAAATTGAGTAAGAAAAGGAAAAAAGGAGAAAAAAAAGGCAAGAAATAATCTTAAATCAAGGGTGGCCCCACATTTAACCTTAACAAATGTTGTTTGAGAGGAATATGTGTATTCTCATCTCTAGTAAAATTCAAACAAAAGAAAAAGAAGAAAAATTGAAAGAAATAATCTTAAATTAAAAGTGAGACCCGCAAGAAATAATGTAGTCAAATCAATATGATAGGAGGTATTATGAGCCAATAAGAGGATGGAAACAGCGCGGGCGCTTATTTATTTATTTTTATATATCATCAATTAATACCCTTTTTAAGCTTACAGGATTTGTCTTTATACCCACTAAGGCCCACATCTAGTTAGGCTTCGATATTGTGAACCCAATTTAACTTGTTTTGAAATTTGCAAACAACCCATATCTGATGCAGCCCATTGAATTTGAACCGAAAAATTGGGCCCTGAGCCCATTTTGTCAACTCTGGCATGTACAAATGTACTAGCTAATGAACATGTCAGAGAAATGGGTCAAATTGGTTTTAGATGAGATAAAAATGGGTTTGACTCAAATTGACTCATTTTTCCCCAGTTATCACCCAGTCCCACCGTCTCTCCGGCACAGAAACCTCGCCCTCCTCTGCCTCTCCATGATCTTCATCGTCATCCTGGCGCCATCAATTCCGCCACTGCCTCCGCGGCCATTTCCCCCACCACCTCCTCAAGGAGGTATCCTCCGAGACCAAGTTGACTCAGTCCCAGTCGTTTGATTTTAGTCAACAAAGGCGAGGACGAGAAGCCAGACCCCACCAAGCCCACAATTCGGGGCCGAAGGTGTCGGACTGGGACGAATAGAAAGTTGACTGGCTGCATTGGAACCATAATTGCCCCAATTTCATCAGGCCCAATGATGCACAACACAAGCTATGTGATTGCCGTCTCTCTCATGTTACTTCCCCCGAAAATCCACAAAGAAATATATTGCAATCACCAAAATTTGCATAGAGCTCTTCCATAAATACATTTGACAAGGTCATTAAAAATACAATCTTGTGAAAATGTCAAATGTGTTTCCAAAAGCTAACATCATTAGCCTCGTGGGGCAAAAAATGATAAATCTCAAACCTTTGTGTGGGCATCACCACCTTCCTTTTTCTAGGGTACATGCATAAGGCAATGAGCATCCTCAGAAAACTGCAAACCTAATGCTTTATTGCACAAATATGTAAGATATCGATCCTATCATCCCAGAAGTTGCCAGATGAGATCATACCCAATTAAAATGTAGCCGAAGATGCGACCAAAGATGAACAACAATTGAAGTTCTGTGCAACAGTTTCAGCCTCTCGTTTTGAAACAATACCTCAGCTGACTGCTGCTACGGCACGAGGCGATTGAATGACCACGACAGAGTAGCATCGGCTGCAGAGTGTTGGGTGCTCTGGAAAAGAACCGACTTTGGGCGAGTAATTCCAACATCTCTCGCATTTGGATCCCTCTGCTTTGGAGGCACCAATCCAGACTTTCTTGCCGTTAATCTCGCACTCTCCAGTGTAAGGAACGTCAGCGGTCAGTTCATCCTCCAGAGACGGAATTACCTCCGCCTGCATGTGCAAATTGTACGTTAATCTGAGTGCGGATGACTGCTCAAGTTTCACCGACACAGGGATAGTGTATTTATAAACTATTTGTCAAGCAAAATTATCCTGAACAAAGCAGATCAAGCCTTGACGACATGATGAATGCAGAGAACCTTTAAAATAAATGTATAAAGAAATGTATACAAAAAATTCAATTCACATAATTCACCACCTGATGTGCTCAGAAGCATTGAAGGTAGTTTCCATTGTAACGAGGTAAATCAAATTACACAGCTTGCCAATTATTATACCATACATACAGATACTCATAATCTCACTTGTTTAATTGCATCGATAATGAGTCATGCATTTTGCCAATAATGTAGGAACCGAAAACAGAAATTATGGCAATTGAACCACAAATCATCTATATCAGAACCGAGGATGACAGAATAAAAAATACCTGAGAAGTTATGAAGATGCGATGCAAGTTGTCTGCATCGTTTGTGGCTGCACTCATTTTGCATAATAGGGAGGCAAGATTTGCATCGGAGGTATGTAACAAGACTTTTGCCTCTAGGCTTGAACCAATCAATTTTCTGCCCCGAGCGATTTCCAGAACCTTATTTACCTCTGTCCTTAGCTGGAGACATTTGATGCAGAATAATATCAGAGGAAGAACTGAAGAACCTCTAAATGGACACCTTAGAGCATATCATAGTCGGGAAAAATGGAGAGTAGTACTAATATTCCTTTTTCTCACTTCAGGAAGCATGAATTTTCACAGAAACATCCTATTTGGGTAAAATGGAGATTCTAATTACCTCAAGAATTTCTGCCCAACTGTCAACTTCTTCCGGCAATAAAGCAAGCCATCTTTCATTTGAGGCAGGCCATCTCGAATCGAATACAAATCTGGCCACAGAACCATCTTCATCGGTGTAGGGGAACGGAAGGTTCTGCCATGCATCCTCTGCTAAGTGAGGCACTATAGGCGCAATAACCCTTACAAGAGAAAGCAGATGCTCTGCAAGAACTGTCTGACAACTTCTCCTCGTAAAACTCTCGGTGCCCCTGTTAACTTAACTACTTAGAAAGAAAGATCTCCACAGTTCCATGTCAGAAGTAAAATGCAACCTTCAAAACCTATACATATGGTATGAATGAACTGCAACTTCTCATTGCCAAAAACATGACATCCTTGCATATGAATCATGCTAAAAGAAGCACCATTATACAGGAAGGTGGAGGTATACAGTGGGCTAAGCGCTGAAATCTTTCTTACAGAAAAAGACGAGGAGGTTACCCAACATAAAGTCGATCCTTGGCAACATCAAAATAAAAGTTTGATAGGTCAACAATTACAAACCGCTGGATGATCTGAGAAATGGAAAATCGAGGAAATTAAATCAATGATGGAAATGTTAACAAAGCACAAAGGACACATTGAGATCTATTACGCATGAACCACTCATTCTAGTAAAGACTTTACGCCTGCTCGATGACAAAGGCATATAAACCAATAAAAAAGATGCATCGCTGAGATGTTTAAGTAAAAGAAAATATGATTAACAATCTAAAGTAGCACAATAAGAAACAGACCTGGAAAATTTTGAAGAACTGATAATTCTCATAACTCTCTTTAATGTTCTTCACAACATTTTCAAGCTGACATAAAGCATAATGGTCAATCATTGGAAGCTCATGGTAAGAAACAGCATCTTCAGCCTGCCAATTCCACAATTCAGCTTGAGAAAATAGAATAACTCAGACGGATGCTCTTTGAATAAGCAAAAAGAGATCTCCCTATCCTGACCAGAGGACATACTATATATTCGATGACATACAAGAATTGAGACATACATTCCAATCATGCAGATTCCCTAAAAGGTATCTCAATGTCCCTCGCAGCTTTCTATAAATGTCAGACATTTGACGGAGAATTTGTGGACCAATCATCACATCTCCGGTGTAATCTACACTAGAAACCCACAACCGCAGAACATCTGCTCCATATCCAGGTGCTTCCTGCCGACAGAAATTACAACTTTTAGCTCCAACAGATAATGACAGGCATATTTAGAAAAAGGCTTTGGAGACGAACCTTTTGGTTTTTCCCTCCTTCAATCACAGTGTACGGGTCTACAACATTACCCAAAGATTTGCTCATCTTCAAACCTCTCTCATCAAGCACAAATCCATGAGTTATGACGCCGCTGTATGGAGCCCTTCCTGTACATGAAGAGAAAAGTAATTCGCATGAGCATAATGTCCTCAAGAGAATCCAATAGAGAGTATCACTGTGAACAAGTATCACAAAAATGATTGTATCATCTAACTTCTCAAGGGAAGCGCATAAATTTTGTAATTGATGCAATGCATATAGAAGCCAAAATAGAAGAAGATTAAAGAAAATTGCATGAACCAAAGTCAGTGTTCATTACCTTTCGTAGCAATACTTGTTAGTAAGGAACTCTGAAACCAGCCACGATGCTGATCTGTACCTTCGAGGTACAAGTCTGCAGGGAATTTAAGGCCAGCTCCTTTCCCCAGTACAGCAGCCCATGAAGAGCCTGAAAAAGAAAGCAAGCAAAAGAGCACCGTAGAAGAATTTCAGTTCAACCACCACACACTAATGTACACAACCAACTCTAGTCAAAACCAAAGTGACCATTACGCTTTTAATTGCAGTCCAGCCTAGAGTTTTTTGACCAACCTCTCATTTATCTAATTCTGCCACTAACATGTATGTACCCAAGGTTTTGACTAATAATCATCTAGCAGAATACATCAGAACCACTATATTGATATATCATAATTGCTGAAAATTCCTCCATGGAAAAGACATGCATTTATCCTTTAATAACAAAGATTAGAAGTAGAGAATCACTTAATGAATCAACCAAAACTTGACTCCTCCCACTTCTACCTCAACGCCCTCTGATTATTAACAGAGCAAAGAAAAAAGCAAGATCATCATATCACAAGCATAACACCTGAGTCAAACCAGACATCCATTGTATCAGTGCCCTTTTCATAGTCCGATGCTTTATCATGATATCTTTCGGGAAGTAGATCCTCTACTTTCATATACCACCATGCGTCGCTACTCCTTTGGGCTATTATGGCTGAAATCAAGAGTTTGTCTCGTCAACCAACATTAAGGAAGACAAAATGCATTGGCAGTAGGAATGTAAACCTTCAGTCTTGACATAACAAGTGGCAGGGGAATACAGTATTTGTACCTTTATACATACAAAATAAAATAAGGCATAAACATATAAAGAAAGAGAGAAACCAATCTTGTCACTTTCATAGATTCTTACATTTAATATGATTAATAGTGTCTTCATTCATTAGAGGCTCCTTGGTTTGTTTATGATAAAAAACCGGAATGGGTACACCCCATGTTCTTTGCCGAGATATGCACCAATCGGACCGGCTAGAAGTCATTGCAGAAATTCTGTTCTCAGCCTGACAGAATACCAGTTAAAAGACAATTAGTTAGAATAACTACAAGTTGATCTTATTTCAAAGCAATTCAGACATACGAATAGTCATGCAGAAAGAAAACTCTAGGATCACTACCTGAGGTGGGATCCATTTGACATTCCCAATTGCATCCATAGCAGCCTGACGAAACCCTTCCACTGAAGCAAACCACTGCTCAGTTGCCCTAAATATAGTAGGTTTTTTTGTTCGCCAATCATACGGATATTTGTGTTCTGCACGAGAAAGAAGCAATATGCCAATTAAAAGGGTTGTTTGCGAACTTATAATAGGAAAGTTTCCAGATTAAAGTGAGGAATTACTATATTGGGAGAAGGAACATCACTTACGATATGATTCTTCCATGACAATTGATGACTGTCCATCCAAGTAGTTCACAACAGCAGTATTACCATCCCCAAGTACATCAAGTCCGCTAAACTGTCCAGCTTCTTCAGTGAACTTCCCATCATCACCTACAGGAGAAAGAATAGGAAGTCCATATTTCAGGCCAGTGACATAATCTTCTTGACCGTGACCTGGAGCTGTATGGACCAGTCCAGTTCCAGATTCTGTTGTGATATAATCTCCTCCAGTGACAACTGGGCACTCCCTCTTATCTATGGGATGGATATACCTGTATTCCACATTAAGATAAACTGTGTCAACAGATTCATGAATCTACCAAATAAAGAATTAGCCACACTTAATAGATTATGTTCCATTATCTATGTATACCAATCTTTAAAACTTATAACCTATATGTGAAGCTGAAATGATTGGCATTCACTTGGATATCATATCACAACTTTAAATTACTAACATGAACAATATCCTATTCAATTCAAGATGTCATCGTTGAACAACCTGCAGTTTTCAAGATCAGAACCCAACAGAATTTTCTTCACGGAAAGCTTCACACCCCATTTTACTTCTAGTGCCAGCACAAGATCCGATGCCACAACAAGAAAAGGCCTCTTGTCACCCTTCAAAACCAGTCCAAGTTTGCGTCTTTTATCTTCCTTAGGTACAGGAGTGTCCCCTGGAGAGGAATGTACTTCGACTATAGCATATTGAAGTTTACCGTTCACAGCAACCGCTGCAAACATCAACAAAAGGAGCAATTAGCATGTTCACCAACCAATGCGTAAATGGCATAAAACCCAGAGAACTATTGATGGCAGAAAAAGTGGACTTTAATTTGATATTTGTAGGATAAGACAGCCAGAACAGTTTGAGAACATACTGTCAAAATGGTGAAGCAAAACATGGAAATTTTTTTTAAACCCTCACTTAAGAATCATAAAAGTGATCCTGAGAGTTGAAGGTCATGACAAACCCCCTTGACACCGTATTAAGTTCTGTCCAAACTGGTCAAATTACTCAGACCCATATGTAGTTCAGAAAACACTTCCCCTCCCCCCTCTCCGCGGCAGGGGCCCCTCCTGCTTTTCTCTCCCACCCATGCAAAATCTAAATCAATTTAGAAATAAGCCTGACATCAATGAGGCAAATTCAAGCCATCACTACATTGAAATTAACCCCGAGTAAGATTAAGTCCTCATCACTCCCTTTCTGCACCTCACGAGTCAAGATTCATTACAGAATGCATTGAGGATACCTGCATTGGCTGGAATTGTCCATGGAGTTGTTGTCCATATAGCCAAGCCCAGGTCAGGAAGGAATTCACTGATTAAGCTAGTGGATGATGGCGAGGCATCAACTAACTTGAAAATGGCATATATACTTCTTGAGACATGCCCTTCAGGATACTGCAAACATTATCCAGTTTAGCTACAAAGCCGTCTCAGAAACATCCTAAATGGAGAAGTAGGTTGTAGAGTCCATTGAATTGAGAACAATTACTGTGAATAAATGAATGGATTAGGCGTTCGCTAATAACAAAGTATAATTTTCAACAGATAACACCAAAGAGTAATGCTAAACCATCACTAACTATAGACATGAGGACTCAAAAAAAATGTATATACACCATATATACTCCATGCATGTGCCTGTGCACAACATGCAACTCTCACGCGCAAACACATAAAGATATATACAGAGAGAGAGAGAGAGAGAGAGTTTTCACCTCCAACTCGGCCTCTGCAAGAGCCGTACGCGAAGATGGGCTCCAATGAACCGGTTTCCTGCCTCTATAAATGTAACCTTGAAGGGCCATTTGGCCAAAGACTTCAATCTAGCAGTGAGGGAAATGCAAAAGCCCTTCCTTAGAATCGAAATCATAGAGGAGATTAATTAGGTTATCCAGTGCATTTTTTAAAAGATCCCTATAGGAATGAACATATTTTTCCCTTTCATCGTCCAGGAAAATTTTGCAAGTTAGAGCGTTAGTCACATATCTACAACCACATCAAGCTGGTAGCAGAGGGCTTCTGAAACACCAGTTGTCTCAGTGAATAGTATATTGTCAAATTGCAGTGTGTCAGGTCAGCAGTACACGCCAATCTAGATTTTCAATCAAACTCGCCATTCACTAGTTACACCTACCATGAACAAACAGAGACTTTATTTATTAGCCTTATCACTCTATCATCGTACTAATCTATTTAGGATTTGGGGACCAAAATAGGTTCTATCGAGCTCAATCTGGCCCTATCCTTCAAGTTCAACCTAAGTGTTAAGCACAAAACTTGTCCCACCCAAAGAATCTAACTGGCACATTGTCATCAGCATTTCGAAAGTGTCAATTACTCTTTTACAGGCACAAACTGGTGGAAAACAAGGATTTGCAAAAGCCGTCTCCAAAGGTGACATGCAGATTAAGCAAAGATATAGAATCCATCCTAGCAAAAGTATACAGAAGATTAAAAAGATCAAAGAAATTCAGCAACAGAAACTGACAAAGAATCAGTCAGAACTTCTACCTGAGAAGCTTCATACTCTGGATCAAGAGTTAGGTAAGGGTTGTTCCACGAAGCCCACACCCCAAATCGCTGCAAATATGACATAAATTGAATTTTGTGAAAAAGCTTTTCCCACCATCATGAAATTCCTTAAGTAAAACTAGCTCCTTTTCATGAAAAAGTAAACTAGCTCCATCAGATAATGGATGAATCAATTACGGCAAGAATTAGGCAGGAACTAAGCTTATGGCTTCAGACCTTGAATGATGCCATCTGAGATTTAACAGTGGACTTGGCAAATTTCGCTGCCTTTTCTCTCAACTTCATCGGAGTGAGACCTTTCCTGGCATCCTGGTCCAGTGACTGTAGAACTACGATGACGGTATAAATGAATGCGTGTCACTAGTCGGAAGTATTTCACATGCACAAATACATGGTTGTGCTCCACGTATTACTGCACAGATATAAGATTACAAGTACATGCCTTTCAGTTCAATTGGCAGGCCATGGCAATCCCAACCAGGAACATAGTATACTTTAAAATTCTGAAGAAGCTGCCAAAGAAAACAAACAAAAGTAAAATCATCACAAGCCCAGTTGGAACAGAAATACAGGATCTTTGAACACTATGTGGAAGCTAAAAAGCAACAGAAGCAGAAGGTTGTTCTTTTTTTTTTTTTTCCTTGATAAAACATCAAATTGTCCTTCCACTCAAATTGATCTCATCCATTATAGCGAACTACCTTATACGATGAAGTGGTCATGTTGCCCATTTAATAAGACTAGTTAACCAGCCAAAAAAAAATGTTTTGTTGGAGAATCCCATTTAATATCACTATAATCTATATCCTTACAGAGTGGTCTCTATACAACCCAAACCTGACTCAGTATTGCTTTGGAAATTTAAATTTTTCCAGACATTGAGTAAGGCTATGGCAGTTGAATTTTGAATCTAAGGCAAGCAATTTTAACAGCTACAAGAGCTATCGTTGCTTGGTTTTTGTTTAAAGCTAAGCATCATGCTCATGTAAAAGAAAAAAGAAAAAGGACAACAGATCAATTTAGAAGATGAGAAACATAAGTTTGCGAAGGCATGGGACGTACCTTAAATCGGTTGATTATGTCCTTCAAAATCTTATTTAAGGCATGACCAATATGCAGGTCACCATTTGCATAGGGGGGACCATCATGAAGCACAAAACTCTCCTAATCAGCAAGGTAACATCAGCTAATAAGTACATATTCGAAAAGGGAGGGGAAAAAATCATAAGGAAAGTACAGAACCCACCCCACTATTTCTGTTGACAATCCTTTCAAACACCTGGTTTTCGTCCCACATTTTCTGTATCTCTGGCTCCCTAAGAGAAGAATTTGCTCTCATCCCAAAACTTGTCTTAGGTAGATCAACTGTGTGCTTGTATTTGCCCTCATCTTGCTTCCCCCCTAAAAAATTCCCGATTGAGGCAGAATAGTCATAACTAGGAGTGGCATCTCAAAACTCAACCATAGCACAACTTAACAAAAACATGCGAAACTCGTCCAAAGACTGCATATTGCAAACCAAAATATTCAAATGATTTCCGGGACAATCAAACCCACAATATTTAAATGCTCCAAGTACCTTCAGCAGCTTTCTTGGCTGCCATAACCGGCCCTCGAGACCTCCGCTTGGATGAAGGCACATTGGCACCTGAAAAACTACAGATTCTCATCCTGCCCAACAACGAAAAATTTTCAAGCAAAGAGCTTCTCCTCGAGTAAAATAGGTTGTTGACTGAAGTCGTCTTCCCCAAACAACCGCAAGTCCTTTGAGTGAGAACCTGACCGTGCACAAGCAGCTTTGTCAGTCGTAACAACAAGAATGCCATCAATTCAATTCGAGCCAATCACTCAAGTTCAACAGCTCAAGCAGACTTCCTATGGGGGAACTCAGATACGACTGGCTTTTTCGCGACAGGTCAATAAATGCTAAATGCCTTTACTCTTAACAGCATTAAAAGAGGAAATTCATCAGCAGAATTCGAAATTTAATGAAAACCAATAGAACCCATCTCAGAGAGCAGGAAAGAACACAACCCCTCCTACAATTTCACCTAAAGTAATCATTTTTCAGCATCTCCAGCCACTCCCCACGAAAGCAAAACGGCGCAAATTCAAGACCCGCCACGCAGTTTGCACGGGCGACAGAGAAAGAACTGACCCACCTTGTAAGGAGAGGCATGAATCACGACCATCTTGGGGCTTCTCTCGGATTGGACAAAGCGGGGACTTCCGAAAGGCGAAAGCACACTAGAAGAGTGTGACCCTTTCGGGATGGAAACCCGGACTCTCGCTTGAACTGAACCGAATCACTCCACGGCTGAGGGAGGAGTGCTTCTGAAGAAGCATGGAAGCAGCAATGGCTGAGTTTCTTCCATTGAGTTGGGGGAAGTGGATAACAAAGATGAAACTGAACTCAAACCTCAGAGAAATCAGACGCCACAGGACAGGGACAGCCTACGGTTTTTGTGTTCTTGGTTTCTCTTCCTCTCCTCACGAAATCTTTTTAGGTCTTTTTTGTAAGTTCTAACTTTGACCCCTCCAAAGTTTTGATTTTTTACAGAAAGGTCCTGTCGTATTTTGCTTTTTTTTGTGAAGATTTATTGTAGATTTCGATTTCGTTTGTAAAAATATAAATCGACGCCTAAAAGCATTAAAAAGTTGCGAATATTAACGAGCAATTTGTTTAGAACTTCAAGGGAAGTTCTTTTCGATTTTCAAAATTTCGAGGGGAAGAGTAAAAAGTAAGGAAAAAAAAACTGTTTTTGATTAAAATTATTAACGCTCTCTTTCGAGATAAAGCTCTTAATTCTTGTCTCCACTCCCTTTTTTTCTCATCAAATAATTTTTTTCAAGTACTTAAATATCAGAAAAGCTACTCGAACTCCCTTACGAAAATACACATGAATTAAACCGGCAATTTTTTTTTTGAGTTCGTTACAATTGACCCTTTAATAGATGCGTAAAAGTCGCGGTGTACGAAGAGATAGAGGCACGGCTGGTTTCGATAATCAAATTATCCGTCTCGTCACGCCCAACACGACTAGGAGGAAGTTCGCGTTGAGTAACATCTTTATATTTGATGCTAATGACAAGATATTCGATCGGTATTTGTCATAAGGAATGCGGGGACTGAAGCGACCGCACGTGCCGCCTTTTATCTCTACTGCGATATCAAGAATCAATCGAGTTCGGTATCCTTCGAGACTCCTCGATTTTTCCTACTCGAATTGCAACTACCAGTGCTTGAATTTCCTAGCAAAAACATATAGTGCTTGAAACAAAGGGCTGAAGACACCCCGCACCCATGGGCCAGTTGAACAATCGACCATTTGTAGTTGCCTCGCTTCTATTGGTTTGGTCCAATGGGCCGTTGGACCAACATCCAGGCCCAACCCCACAAATTAAAAAAATTTTGACTCAGAATTGGTGGGGTGCGCCGGGCCAAGGCAGCAGTGTAACGCCAAGGCGACGCGCGAGAGCCCCAGCAGCAAGCTACTGTGATGGACTCTCCCCCTCGAAAAATAAATTTAATATCATGTGGACCGATGACCCACGTATCAGATATTAAACTGATAAGAACAGATACTACACTTGATCTTAGCCAAAAGGCCGAGAAAGGTATGCTTTAGAAACACCTCGTCCGTCGCTTCTTATACTGGTGTCCTGGTTGTTATCCTCTTCCTGCAGCCGATGTGGGACTGATCAGAGGCTCTCTATCACCGCCTCACCGCTCCCCCTCCTCTCTCCCTTTCCCTTTCCTCACGTGCAAGCGAGGACTCGTTGAGCGTTTTGATTGTTTTTGGGCGGTGTTTCTTCACGCTTGTTCCGGAGCAGAACAGAAATTTTGCCAAGGAGATTGCTGCTATCCCTCCCTGGGATCGCACGAATCGAGCCGAGGTTGTTGCTCCTCCGGATTTATGTTCCTTTTTTATCAAGCCCAATCTTGCCCCAGTCACTGTTGAAATTATGGAACAGGTTTTCTAAGACACGAAGTTGGCCTATAACTCACTTTCCTGGTGAAAGAGATCCATCCATGGTCCAAAAATTCAGAAAATTTCTCGATCTCATTTACCCTCTTTTTTGGTTTTCTGATCATTCTCTCGGAAATTTGACAGGAGGACTTGAATTGTATCATGAAGCCGGTCATGAGCACCACCAGATCTGGTGGACAATCAAGCATGATTCTTGACTAACTATCTAAGTGTAGTTGAAGGACAAAGTTGAGTTTGTATGCAGTAGAACCACATCATCCCAACTATATATCACTCCCTCTGTCTCTCTCAACACACCCCCCCCCCCCCCCCCCAGCAAGGGAGGACTTCTTCACATCCCTGGGATTGCACTAATCGAGCCGAGTTTGTTGCTCCTCCCTGATTTATGTTCCTAAGCCCAAATGTCTTTTACTGATATGATATGTCACCACCACTTGCCCCAGATTCTATAAGTTAGCTTTTTTCTCACTTTCCTGGTCCAAAATTCAGAAAATTTCTTAATCTCATTTACCCTTTTATGGTTTTCTGATCATTCTCTCAGAAATTTGATAAAAGGACTTGAATTATCATGAAGCCCGTCATGAGGGCCACCAAATCTGGTGGACAATTAAGCAAATTTGTTGAAGGACAAAGTTGAGTTTGTATCCAGTAGAATAACCACAACCCATCAAGAGACTGTGGGATTAAATAAATAAGTCTTCATTGGTATCAATTTTATTTTACACAAACATCAATGGGATTCAGTGAACTGCAAGAATTTCCATGGCAAATTACTATATTCCAGAATCTTAAATTATACAAGCGACGAAGAAAATCATGTAAATGCCAATTTACATGAACCTTAAATTAGGACTTATATGACCACTAGGCGGCTACTTCTGCTATTACATCAGCAGCTACTGCTTCTCTCCCTGACCCTACACTACTGAGAGGATACAATTTTGATCATGGACTGCACATGAGCAGGAGGTAAACTGATCTGGCAAAAGCTTTGCCAAGATTCCTGCTTCTGGTCTTGGTTCTCTGTGACACGCTCATACATCGAAACCACCATGCTTCTCGCCGCCTCTCTCGCCTCTGGCAGCCTATCATTCAACAACTCCACAGCCATTTGAAGAAGCGACGCCAACCCGAATTCTTTCATCTTCTCTAGGCCCTAAAAAGAGCAAACCCATCATCAGCACCCTTGAAGCTCAAACAATGAAACGACCACGAGAAAGGGAAATTCTGATAAATTTACCATCTTGGAGACACAGTAGGAGATGGAAACAGCAGCTTTTGCCCGGACTCGGAGATTGAAGTGGCTGACATAGGGGCGGAGTTTATGGAGAAGAGGCAGAGGAGTCAGCGACCCCACCATTGCGCTCAGAGCTCGGTCCGCTTCTTCACACACGAACCGCTTGTCCTGCGATGCCTTCAGTAACAGCTGCAGCAGCTGAAATGCCACAAAAAGAAGGATCGCGATCAAGTTCCTCAAAAGAATTAAATGAATTAATCATTAAACAAAATTAACCAAAATAAACAGAAACGATATGATACTTCTGGAGTCATACCATTTGGTCAAGGGCACTGGAGTTAGCTGCATCGAGCAGTTTATCGCCGTAAGCCTTGAAGACATCCGATGCCGCCATGATGGAGGTCTTACACAAAGCACTTCTGGGGTTCTTCATGGCCTTCACCAGAACCAGCATCACCTTTTCCCTGCTCATATAATTCACGATATCGAAACCTCATCGCAGTCAAATTATGCATTCCATGTCTAGTGAACAAAGAATGAGATGAGAGAGAGCTTACAACAGAGGAAGCATGAGATCGGAATTGTACAATGCGAACCGGCGAGCATTGTTCAGCGAATCGCAGACCTTTATCCAATCCTTCGACTCCAAACCCTCCATCAAGCACTTCACAAAAAGAAGAAAACCCCAATCACTCGAAAGACAGAACTAATCATAATCCATACCCTTTCCTATTTCCAGAACCAATTTGAGCATTTCCCAGCGCCACAATAACCGTCGCCGGAAAAGTTCAAAACTTTAACAATTCGAAAATGCAGGGACGAACGCTAAAATCAGGGCCAGGGGAAAAGTGAGGCAGCTCACGTGGATCTTCGATTCGGGATCGGGAATTGCCGCGAGATTCTCGGAGGAGACGTAGTCGACGGCGGAATCTCCAGACGGAGGCGGCGGCGGCGGCAGCAGCGGGGCCCTGTTCTCGTCATTGACGGCGGAGGGCGGTTTCGGGAGAGAGATTGCGACCTTGGCTTGCTTTTTGGGCCTCTCCGGAGTGATCGGGAGAGCATTGTCGAGCGATCTCAACGCCATTTTCCTTAGAGAAAATCAGAAAGAGAGAGAGAGAGATGGGGAGGTTTGTGTTTACAGGGGAGAATGCTTGAATTCATTTTATTCATTTTTTGGAGTCGTGTGGAAAGATAGAAAGGGATCGGGTCGAACGTTGCGATATGTAACGGTCACATTTTGGGACGGGTCGGGCCGGGCCTGCTCCCTTGTTTTTTTCTTTCTTTCTTTTTTTCTTTTTTTAGCCGATATTTGTTTTCTTTTCTGTCTGTAACTTATTGAGAATCTTCCCTGCTCTGCTCTTTTACTTAAGTTATTATTATTATTATTACTATTATTATTATTATTCCTCGGGCATTCGGGATATTTTGGATACGATAATCGTCCATCGACATGATAGGGTAATTATGAATCGAAGGAGAAATATCACGTGATTTATCCATTTGAATTTACATATTAAGAAATGACTAAACTCCGAAGAAAAAAATCATGTGTTATTGCTGCAATAAAAGCGCTAAGAATTTTTTATATTTTAGCCACTAATTATACGACAAAACCGTGCCACCGTCACAGCCTTTTGAGCGAGATTCTATTAACGAGAGTCCAAAAAACATAAAACTTATCAGGCAATCAAAACACGAAGCTTTCGTAGTCAAATTCCCTTTTACATGAGAAAAACAATAATACGAGTTTAGTACATAAACTAAATTAAATATGAACTATTGAAGATAATGAACCCCATCAAATTTGACAATCTAGATTGAATTTAGTATATATGTATGTGTGTGTATGTAGGGTTTACAAAATATTTTCTTGTCCTGTTCCTTTCTCTTTTGTCCTTCTCCACACAATTAGTTGGTATTTCATTATTCAAGACAGAGAAAACACACATTTGGCATCGGCTGATTTGTTCTCTTCACAACACATTCTGGGAGCAAGGAGAAATATACAATGGGGTTGGCAAAATGCCACATATATTCAGCGAATAAAAGGAGCACATTCTATCTTGAGAGTTTTCTCTTTTCCTTTCAAGCAAAGTGTTTTTCAAATTTCCAATCAACAGACAAACAGCAGCCCGAAGGCCCTCATGATTCACCTTTACAGCAAAGAGAGAGCCACCAGACTTGTTCGATGATTACAATCGACACCAACAGATCTACCCACCACGAGCAGTC